TTTTTTTTTTTTTTGTTTAAATACAAACACATAAGTTTGAATGAAGTTCGTATATCCTACCTTTCTCTTTCATCCTTTGAATAAGTTTGATAGCAAAGAAATAAAAAGGGTGAGAAAATACCTTTCCAATGATGCCTAATGAAGTCTAGATCGGAAGAGTTTAGGTTCAGTTATTCAAGTTTTTTCTTATACCAGTCTTTGGAAAAAGTTAAAAAACAGCATCAAATATCTCATTACGATTCCGTTCAAAATTTTCTAACAATATTTTAATGCAAATGTTTTAAGCTTAAACCGTTGTGTCATTTGAGGGGATTTAAAAAAAATCTTTAAGAAACTATTTTTGTTTATAAATAAATCCCTTTTTGGAGGTATTTTCAAATCGGTCCAGCTCACGTAATACTTATTTATCGGAAATATTTTGGTGAACGTGTTAAAATATAATAGATTTTATAATTCCAGTGGAAACACATTACCGTGTTTTTTTTTGTATTGGGAGTGATGCAGGCTAATGTACATGTGTAGCCGAGAAAGGTTTTGTTGTCCAGTTTGCTTTGCTCTCACATACACATTTGTATTTCAACATCTGTACGTATGTATGTATTTGTATTGCGTGTATTTGACAATTGCTTGCTGATGAATGATGCATTTCAGTTGCGGTTACTAATGCGTCGCCCTTAAATGTTGACTAAACTTAAGTAAATAGCAACAAAATGCTCGAAAACCAAATTGAAAGGTTGTCTAATATAGTGACTTTGATTTTTGGTTTGATTTGAGGTTTTCGTTAGTTTAGAATTATCTAATGGCACTGAAACGTTGGTGTTTATAAATACAAAAGAAAATAACTAACGGAGAAAATAAAGCTGCAATAATCTAGAAATTAGACGGTTTTTGGTTAAGGAAATATTTATAGAACGGCCCATATCGATATTCTCTTTTAAGTCAAAATCCGTTAAACACTAAATCGCTAAGTAGTCGGGGATGCTCTATACTTCCAGTTTTGACCGGAAGTAGGTTAAACTAACTGTAAGTGCATTTTTTTTTTTAAATCATTGATACGGATTGTGAAGATAAAAAAAAAGTTAACTTTTGTTTGAAACTTTTTTCTCGGAAGTACCATTTTCAATCCATAAATGACCTTTGAACTTCAAATCGTCCTGACTGCTTAAATGAGTGAACAAATATGAATTATTAAATCGGGAATGCTCTATTGTTTGGTTCTATTACCTACTTCCGAGTTTGGCCGTAAATTGGTTAAATTAACCGGAAGTGCATTTATTTTTATTTAGTCCATTTTAGAAAAAGGTTTCAGGCAAAAGTAATGTATTTTTGTTTGCAGAATCCGAATTTGTGGTGAAAACTTGTATGCCTTATACAAAAAATGGTCTACCGGTCAGTTCAACCCACATCCGGGCACAAACTGAAGTCGGTAATACGACTTAGAGATAGAGCATTCCCGGCTTGGTGATTATTATTTTTCTCATTTTTCATTAAACACATTTTCGTGCATTTTAGAAGTTCAGGACGAGTTGAAGTTCGAAGGCGATTTAGGGTTGAAAAAAGGGCACTTCCAAGAAAAAAGTTTCAAACAATAGTTAAAGCAACCATTCTTAATTTTTATAGATCTTTTATTATAAATGCAAATGCTTTCGCACATCTCTAGAATAATAATTAGCCAATATTTGGAATCGAACACACACCATTTTATAAGTACACGCCTCACCCCTACACTATGTAGCAGTACACAGAGCAATTATAAATCTCGTTAGTTTAGCAAAACTCCAACGGCAAGAAATCAAACACACATATGTACATATGTATATATGCACTTAAAAAGAAGTTCCACATTTAACGCAATACATTTTTATTTTCATTTTTTCTCACTCTTTCCACTGCTACATTTTACTCTGATCGCACTCCCACAATTTTGTCACTGTACTCTATTGCGGACAAATTAACGGAAATCACAAAATTTCGTGCAAAACCAACAACGCAATTGCCCTGCCGCTGCTCAATATTGCAACATTTAAATTTCGCCATCCTCTCCTTAAACCAATAACCGCACAACTCGCGACAACAACTACATGCATGCAACAACGAATCATTACCGCGCACATCCGGCTACATACATACAGAGCGTCGACTCGGATGTCGGTTCGTTGAACATGATTTCAACGGAGAACGAAGTTCCTGAGGTGGAATCATCGAGTGAAATTCTGGCCGATGACAACAAGCCAACCAACTCGAATGACGAAAGCTGGACAGATGTCAATTTGAATGAGGATGCGAGTGTATTGTCAGGTGGCATGTCGGCGGTGGATGCGAAAATGCGTAACATCGACAGCCTGCAGCACCAAGCACACCAGCAACAACAGCAGCAGCAGCAACAACAGGCGCCGACAGGACATGGCCAACCGCAGGGTGCTCAGCAAATGCAAGCACATCACGGCCATCAGTTGGTGGGTGCGGGCGCTGGCAGCGAACGCGGCGACAAACCCGATTCGGAAATATCGGTAGTACGTGTACCGGACAGTTATGCAGCTACATCCGGCGCATCAGGCGCGGGCGTTGTCACGGCTGCCGGCGGCAATGTGGGTCAGCGTGGCACACGCTCCGATGAGCTACAAATGAAACCACCACTCGTTGGCCAGCTGCCGATGACAACGCCCTCGCGTGAGGCGAGCCTCACACAGAAACTAGAGGTGGCTTTGGGTCCGGTTTGTCCGTTGCTGCGCGAAATAATGGTTGACTTTGCGCCATTCCTCTCAAAGACACTCGTTGGCTCGCATGGTCAAGAGCTGCTTATGGAGGGCAAAGGGCTGACGACTTTCAAAAACTCGCACTCCGTTGTCGAGTTGGTGATGTTGCTGTGTTCGCAGGAATGGCAGAATAGCCTGCAGAAACATGCCGGTCTCGCCTTCATCGAGTTGATTAATGAGGGTCGGTTGTTGTCGCATGCCATGAAGGATCACATTGTGCGTGTCGCCAATGAAGCTGAATTCATATTGAATCGTATGCGTGCAGATGATGTTCTCAAGCATGCTGATTTCGAGTCGCAATGTGCCCAAACACTGCTGGAGCGTCGCGAGGAGGAACGCATGTGCGATCATCTAATAACGGCAGCGCGAAGACGTGACAATGTGATTGCTAGTCGCCTCCTCGAAAAGGTACGCAATATTATGTGCAATAGGCATGGGGCTTGGGGTGACGCCAGCGGCAGTGTGCAGAAACAAACTTATTGGAAATTGGACGCTTGGGAGGATGATGCGCGCCGACGCAAACGCATGGTGCAAAATCCGCGCGGCTCATCGCATCCACAAGCCACACTCAAGGCGGCCATCGAGAATGGCGCACCCGAGGATGCTATCCTGCAGACGCGTGATGAATTTCACACACAGATTGCAGTATCACGTGCGCATCAGTCCGCTCAGCATACGGCCGATCTTTTGGATGACGCCGAGCTGTTGATCGAAGATCGTGAGCTGGATCTGGACTTGACGGGCCCAGTGAACATCAGTACCAAGGCGAAACTGATAGCGCCCGGCGTGGTCGCACCCGGTACAGTGTCCATCACGAGCACTGAAATGTTCTTTGAAGTTGATGAAGATCATGCTGAGTTCCAGAAAATCGAGCCAGAGGTGCTAAAGTACTGCGATCACTTGCACGGCAAGTGGTACTTTTCCGAAGTGCGCGCCATCTTCTCACGTCGCTACTTGCTGCAAAATGTAGCTTTGGAGATTTTCTTGGCCAGTCGCACCTCTATTCTCTTCGCATTCCCCGACCAACATACTGTGAAAAAAGTGATCAAGGCCTTGCCGCGCGTTGGCGTCGGCATTAAATATGGTATCCCCCAAACTCGCCGTGCTTCGATGATGTCTCCGCGCCAACTGATGCGAAACTCCAACATGACACAGAAGTGGCAACGACGCGAAATTTCCAATTTCGAGTACTTAATGTTCCTTAATACAATAGCGGGACGCACCTACAATGACCTCAACCAGTATCCGGTTTTCCCATGGGTACTTACCAACTACGACACAAAGGAGCTGGATCTCAGTTTGCCTTCAAACTACCGCGATCTGTCGAAGCCGATAGGTGCATTAAATCCCTCACGACGCGCCTACTTCGAGGAACGCTACGAAAGCTGGGAAAGTGACACAATACCGCCATTCCATTACGGCACACACTACTCAACGTCCAGCTTCACGCTCAATTGGTTGGTGCGCGTTGAGCCATTCACCACCATGTTCTTGGCATTGCAGGGCGGTAAGTTCGATTATCCTGACCGTCTTTTCTCTTCCATTTCACTTTCATGGAAGAACTGCCAACGCGACACATCCGACGTCAAAGAGCTCATACCCGAATGGTACTTCCTGCCAGAAATGTTCTACAACTCATCTGGCTATCGCCTGGGGCATCGCGAAGACGGCACTCTCGTCAACGATGTCGAACTGCCGCCCTGGTCTAAGAGTCCCGAAGAATTTGTGCGCATCAATCGTATGGCCTTGGAATCAGAATTCGTCTCCTGCCAGCTGCATCAATGGATTGATTTGATTTTCGGCTATAAGCAACGTGGGCCCGAAGCAATACGCGCAACCAATGTCTTCTACTATCTGACCTATGAAGGTAGTGTTGACTTGGATGCGATAAACGATCCCGTCATGCGTGAAGCAGTGGAAAATCAAATTCGAAACTTCGGCCAGACACCCAGTCAGCTGCTGATGGAACCGCATCCGCCACGCAGTTCGGCAATGCACCTATCGCCAATGATGTTCAGCGCCATGCCCGATGATCTCTGCATGTCGCTGAAATTCTATCAGAACTCGCCAATTATACACATTTCAGCCAACACCTACCCACAACTGTCGCTGCCGTCGGTAGTGACTGTGACGGCTGGCCATCAGTTCGCCGTGAATCGCTGGAATTGCAACTACACCGCATCCGTCCAGAGTCCCAGCTATGCAGAGTCGCCACAATCACCTGGCTCCAATCTGCCGTTGACCATCGATCCAGTTTTATGTAAGTGCAAGTTTTTATTGAAGAGTTTTCGATTTAGGAAACTAAATTTTTGCTCTGATTTCTGCCTATCCTTCACACTTCAGCTGCACAAAATACAGGCCACAACAACCCAATGAATCGTCGTCATTTAGGTGACAATTTCAGTCAGATGTTGAAAATTCGCTCCAACTGTTTTGTGACAACTGTAGACAGCCGTTTTCTGATTGCTTGCGGTTTTTGGGACAACAGTTTCCGTGTGTTCGCCACTGAAACTGGTAAGGCGTAGAGAAATAGAAACTGCTGTAAAATATCTCATACAAGATTCGAAGTTCTCTCGATAATCTTTACATATTTACTAAGCAGCATTTTCCCACAATCTCTTATATTTCAGCGAAAATCGTGCAAATAGTATTCGGCCATTTCGGTGTCGTCACCTGTTTGGCCCGCTCAGAGTGCAATATCACCTCCGATTGTTATATCGCATCGGGTTCGGCAGACTGCACAGTGCTGCTGTGGCACTGGAATGCGCGCACCCAGAGCATTGTCGGTGAGGGTGATGTGCCAACGCCGCGCGCTACGCTGACGGGACATGAACAAGCTGTGACTTCGGTTGTGATTAGCGCTGAGCTGGGCTTAGTCGTCTCAGGATCGACAAGTGAGTATTAGCTAATCGAATAGGTTTATGTACCTTTTTATGTGTACGTTTGCACAGATTTTTTCCTAAGTCAACAGTTTTATTATTTAGTAAAAGTTTTAAGATATCAAACTGTATAATAGTTAACTATTTTTTATATGATTTTCTTTGCAGACGGTCCCGTTCTGATTCATACCACATTTGGTGATCTTCTACGTTCGCTCGATCCGCCCATGGATTTCTATTCGCCCGAGTTGATAGCCATGTCGCGCGAGGGTTTCATTGTTGTCAATTACGATAAGGGCAATGTGGCTGCGTATACCATCAATGGCAAGAAGCTACGCCACGAAACGCACAATGATAACTTGCAGGTGAGGAATATTAACAAATATATTTAAGAAATAAATATTCATGGAAGTGGAATTAGACCAGGTGAAGTAATATAAGCGAGACGTTGTATTCAACATTGATTTAAAGATTTGCTTAATATTTTTAAGACATGATTTCATTAATATTTATATTCTATATAAATACGTATGTTTTCATTTGATAGTTTTAACATTTGATAAAGACTTAAGGGAGAATATTACACATCAATATTTTTACTTACTAAAGTTTTTGGCATATTTCTGTTTCTTCTCTTTATAGTGCATGCTGCTATCGCGTGATGGTGAATATCTGATGACTGCTGGTGACCGCGGCATAGTGGAAGTTTGGCGCACTTTCAACTTGGCGCCTTTGTATGCCTTCCCTGCATGTAATGCGGCCATCCGTTCGTTGGCGTTGACACACGATCAAAAGTAAGTGCGATTTAAAATTCTTTAGCGCTGGTTATACGTACATTACAGCGCAGGGTATAGACAAGCAGCGCATGTGAAGCAGGAGTGTTATTATACTCCGCATAGAGGGCATAGTCAGCTGTTCTGTGTAATCAGTTAGTCTGTTCCTGTACTCTAGGATTTAGTTGGGAGGCTTTACCCGAATAATTCGTATAATTTTCAATGGAGTAGCAGCAACTAACTTTATAATCGACTTTATTTCGACTATGAATATGATGCAATGTATGTATCTGAACGACCTCTCAGTAAATCTGATGAATACTGGAACAGACTAAGGGTAGATAATCAAAAGAAATGAGAGTGGCATCTCTCTTTCAAAGTGTCACATAGCGAATGATCGAAATTCACCAGACTTCGCTTTCATGCTCTGTCATGCGCTGCGTCCTGTAATCGCATTTATGCAAAACTCACATTTACCATTTTCGCCTGTTTGTGTAGCAGATGTGGCAGCTCGACATATTATTTTTCATTTATGTATATTTCTTCCTTTTAAAGCAAAGGAAATTATATATTTTGCACAAAACTACGACCGCGTCATGTTTAGTTTAACGTAAACATTTTTTGTTTTAATTGATTTGTTCACTTATTCATTAAACTAGATTATTGATTTAAATTCTAAAAAAAATACTTAAATAATGTAACATGAAATAAACAAAAGACTAGGAACTTTGAAAAGAATGATATACTCTAAAACATGGTCAGTAAACCAATTTTCAACTAATTGGCATGTGAATTTAATTAAAATTTACTTTTAAACAGATGGCAACCCTCTTGAAAAAAAATTATAAAGATAAATCGGTTCCGCCTTGACGTCTGGAGTATAATATTTTATTAAACTTCATGAATAAATTGAATTTGACATTTAAACCTCCTATAAAAAAATTTCGACAGAAAGCTTTCTCAAATTTCTTCCACATTTTAATATCCCACAAAATTAAATTTGGGGTTTAAACTGGTGGCCAACCTCTCAAAAAAGATGATCGAAATAAAGCTCTCTTAAACCGGTTCCGTTCGAATTTATCTTTAAGTTGGATTTGATTTTGAGCAGGTGGCAACCCTGTTAAAAAATATGTTCAAAATAAAGCTTACTTAAATCCGTTTCGCTGGATATACATAGGTATCTTTCAGTTAACTTCTTGACTAAATTGTATTTGACCTTTAATCAGGTACAGATTGAATTGAGCTATCAATCTTGAGATAGCACTTTAAAAATTTTTTCGAAGTAAAGCTTTCTTAAACATCTTTTTTTGACATTCAGAATATAATATTGACTAAACAAAATTTCACTTTTAAATCAAGTGCCAGCTCTTCTAAGAAATTACTAAAAAAAACTTTTTAAATCTCTTTCGTGTTGATTAAATTCCATTTGAATTTTATACAGGTGGCAACCCCCTTATATATAGTATCTAAATAAGTAAAATACTACAATCCGAATATCAATCGAAAAAGATATAAAAAATAAGTGTTTCATTTAACTCATTTATAAAGTAGACAGGTGGCAACCCTGTACAAAAAATTATTTTGAAATATTGTGTTACACCAAAATTTTTATGGTACTTTTAATTTCCATAGAATTTAACCTTTTCAACAAGTGGCGCCCTTCTTTCGTACATATGTATTTTTTTAGTAGCACAGATACCCATAACCCATTTAAGTTCTCTCTTTTCATTTCCAATTCTGTATTTTTTTTATTTATTTCCAGATACCTCCTTGCTGGACTATCCACCGGCTCCATCATTGTATTTCACATTGATTTCAATCGCTGGCATCACGAGTACCAGCAGCGATACTAAACGCCGAGAGAATACGAAATGATAATTCTCAAATGCTTTAAAAAACGATGACGCAAATTAACTTGGATAGTAGATTTGCAAACCTCAAACAAAGAAGCGTAGACAGCTACTTCAAACATATATGGGTGACGGATGTTGTACCGGCAACAATTGTGGATAAAATAAGGCCAAATTGCAAACAAGCAGGACTTAAAAAATGTTTAACAAGTTAGTTTAAAGAAAATGAGTAATTAAAAAAAACAAAATGCAAGTAAGCCACTTATTCAATGAGAAAATGCAAATATAATATAATAAATTAATAAAATAGTATTATTATTGGCTTTGAGTTTTAAACCGAATAGCGGCGATACGCAGGTTTTAAACTAATCATTAATTCTTTCATTTTTACTATTCGATTTTATTAGGCTAGGA